ATTTGGGTGAGTTTCTGACGTATATTGGACAATACAATACACTTTGGAGGCAGCTGTTTTCTGCACTTGCCATTACCTGGTTTGTTTATTTAATTACTACTTTCAAGGCAACGTTTCTATCTTTTTGTTTAGTTTGAGTTTAAAAAAATTAAATGCAAGAGAATTAAATGTTCTAGGGGATCAAATAAATAATTTACATTAATAATCAGTTGTAGTACATTATAGTTTTGGAGAATCATCAATACGTTTGACTGAGYGGTATGACAAAATATGCTCAAGGGGTACACAAGTCTAAAAAGGTTAGGAACTCCTGCTTTACAGAGTTTTAAAACAGGTACCGTAAAAATAAAATTCAGGAAAAAAACACTACACAGGTTGAATTGATTGTCAAAGGCAGGGAATCATGTAACTGACTGTGTTCATTTGTTTTTCTGTTAGCAAAATACTGTAGCACATCAACCACTGGACAGATTTGAATAAATCTGTAATGATTGGATGTTCACCTTCAACTGATTAAATACTGTAGTCACAGTTATTCAGTTTTAGCAACAAACACAAACAAGACTAAAACTCAGCCATATTTACATAAACTTAGAGAAACTTTAAAGTTAAAAGTAACAGAGTCATATCGGACACATACAAGATCACATGATATTTTGTTCAAAACATTCAAGGTGGTGAGTGAWATTATCTTTGGAAAAACTTGCTTTTGATCCAATATGGTGGCTTTCAAGATGAACCATAAACTACATCTCCCATAAGGCAGATATTTCACCAGAGAGATGATGGCATCCCACCACTAAGTAGAGCTGCAAAGTAGCCAGTGAAATTAGCAGTGTAAAATCTCCATTTAATCAGATTTTCTCTGGCCACTTTTGCTGCAGCCCAATTATACTGGGAAGTGGGAATTTCCCACTTATAACTTGTAAGTTCAAACTAGAACAGTCATCCAGTGGGAATTTCCTGTCAGAAAGTGGGAGAATTCAGAATTCAAGATGGCAGCTACTCACCATAACTCAACAGTGAGTAAAACTCTCTTACTTTTACTTTTAACAGTATTTCTGTATTATTTATTTCACATTTAGTCAGTCGTACACATAGTACTTTTCAGTGTTTAAAAGAGGACGTGTTAAAGCACTGTTTTGATGCAGGAAATACCACATAGAGCTCATTTTTTTGTTTGTTAATGGTACTGAGACGTAGCAATGAGACGTGGAACATTTGTATTTAGTTAAAGTTAAACATAAAACATTGAAGATAATTACAACCATAATTCTCATGTGACTCTCGATGAAAATGATTTTGATACCACTGGTTTAGACTAAATAGGGGGCGTATCAGTACCAGTATCGATACTATTGGTACCAAGCTGAGTATCACTATGGTATCGACACTAGTGTGATGAAGTTGATTCTTTTGTTTACACTTTATTTGCACTGCTGATTTAATTGATATTGTATATGGTATTACATCGTTTATTACTGTTGTAGTACTGTAGGAATCAGCTGAAACTTAGAACAGCTTGAGACAAATACTCATCATAATGGAAGGACAGTGTGTCTAAAATGTCTGTCCTATCTGATCGCCTAATTAAAGGCAAAATCACAAAATCACACAATTTGTGTGTATAATCAGAGTAAATATATGAGATTATTCACATCTGATATTATGAAAGCACCAGAAACTCATAAATCCCTCTGGCAATTGCTAAGGGCACGTCCAACTAGGGGGCRTCACAAATGGGGGACGAAAAACAATATTTTATATTGTTGTCATCAGGTGTTTACAAGTATGGGGTAGACTTCTAGTATTCTGTTTCCAATTAATTATATTGTTCACTGTTTTAATTGGACAACCTTTTTCTAAATTATTTAATTTGGTGTGTGGATGTACTAAATTGACAGTGAGATCTAGAAAATTGTTTGAGGGTCGTCATCTGACATGTCTAGGGCACCAAATTGGCTAGAGACAGTCCTGTGARTGAGTATTAAGATGCAATACTGAATATGTGATACCACACTGTTGACATATTTTATTCTTTATGCAGCCTGAAGTTGTGCAGGTTGAAAGGGATCAGTTGTACCTCTTTGGCCTCAGCTCTGAAGTTCAGCTCCTCCCACCTGAGAGAACTGGATTTGAGTGGCAACAACTTGCAGGATGTCCATGTAAAGCAGCTGTCTGACATTGTGGRGAGTCCACACTACAAACTGGAAACACTGAGGTCAGTATATCGATTTATGATTTTCAAGCTGTGTGTGTTCACTTCAGCACACAACAAAACGTGAAGCTCCATCTGTAATGTATATTCTAGATGTGCTGCACTGATAACTAAGTGGAGTTTGTAGAAACACTAACATACTTTTTGTGTCCTCTGTTTTTCAATACAGATGGAAGTGATGGGTTTTAAAGGAAAAATGAACCCCCACCCCCACCCCTCAACCCAAGGAGAAAGCAGCGGTTTTTGTGCAGAATCTGACTAATCCAACTGATGGTAATAAAATAATTTCTAGATTCAGTTGTTTCTAGAAACCTTTCTGTCGACACTGGATGTCTTCTTGTTTGTAACCACCTTGGAACAATAACAGTAAATATATAATGAAATAATTAATGTATATAATATGATTGTACTATAGAATAGAATAGAATAGAATAGAATAGAATAGAATAGAATAGAATAGAATAGAATAGAAT